ATTAACTTTAATTATATCATAGTAAAATTATGTTTGTATTTTTCTTTTTCAGTAATCATTTATTATACCAAATAATTTGTTATAGTAATAACGAATTTTCTTATAATGAAGGGCTGATCAGCTCGGACGTCAACTTCATTATATTGAGATGTGACTGTATATTATTTAAATATAATGTTTTTTTATATAAATCAATAATCCTTTATCAAAATTTTCTTCAACTTGTATTAAAATTAATAATATTATTTTTTTACTTAAACTAGATTATTAAAATTAAGTAATATAATTTAAATAAAAAAGTAAATTTTCATATTAGAACTATTTTAAAATTATTTATATTATCCAAAAAAATATATTAAAATTTAATGTATTAATAAATAGTTTAAATAAATTATGATTATAAAAATTAGTTGTTAATTTTAAATAATTTAAGTTTATTATTCTATGTTCTAATTATATATATATAAGATGATCTAAGAAAATCAGATTCTAAGTATTCGTACTGTAACAAATTTTTTGATTAAAATTAAAAAATTCTCACCTGATTATCCTACCATATGTCTGGACTTAGATTTTTTCGATGTGAAAATTCCTATTTATCACCTTGCATGGGGGGGGGGGGGGGGGTGAAATTTTTATGTGGTATGGAAACATTCACGTGACAATAATTATCAACGGAAATTAGAACTCCGGACTTGTATAATTTTTTTATAAACATTAATTTTTTTTGGTTTACCTTTTTTTTAAATTGGAAAATGGGCTTGAGGTACTGCATGACTAAAAACAAATTGTCTACAAACTTTGGACACCACATAACCGAATTAATGCTGTATTTATAAAGTAAATATTTTGACCAACGATTTATTATTATAAATCAAATACAAAAATTTGATCATATTGCCCTTTTTTTTTAATTATCTTCTAAACTTTTCTTTCATTTTTCAACCTAAAATCCAATCAATCATGACCTTATTGTTGAATGAGTTATTTCAAAAGGATAAAAAACATAATAATGAGGACCCTCAATTAACGGAAAGAAATTCAAAAATCCCACGTATCGACGATTCATCAGATGATAAATCATCACGTTCATTACCGCTGTCTTCTTCAAATTGCATGTCTGAAGAACCACTTGAAATTAAAGATGTTTTGGAGAGGGATTTCGTCAAAGATATATTTAACGTATCTCAAGTTTTCGAAGATTTCGCTCCATTAATTAAAACATTCCTTTCAATAGGAAAAGAGATTATGGAAATATATGAACTAGCCGAACATCATAAAGAATTATGTGGTTTTCTTTTACAAAGGTGTAATTGCGCCATGGCCGCGGTACAAGATTTAAAAATTAGAAAAACGGAAAATTTAAAATTTTTCTCCAAAAAGGAAAATAAAATTTTATTTGAAGGATTTATTAATTGTATACGTGATATTAAAAACTTTATCAAAAAGATCAGTCATTTAAGTAAATTTAAGAGATTATTTTACGCAAATAATATTGAAGAAAATTTTACGGATCTTTTAACGAAATTTGATGGGTACATGAAAAGTTTAAATTTTTCTTTCACCATACAAACTAGAGTTGAAGTTTCAACCATAAGATGTGACCTTAGTCAAATTAAAGAGATCTTACTTCGCGTTTATGGTTTACCTGATGATAAAAGTTTTTTAAATAGAATGGAATTGGTATCAGAGAAAAATAAAGAATTTCAAGAACAAAGCAAACTACCCCAAAGTTTACATTCAATTGAAGTGAATGAAACATTACTTGACGGAAGTCATTATCAACAAACGAATGTTTGTCCTTCCAAACGAATTCATAAACGTTCATCAATTCATGAGAATATTGATTATACGTTTAGTGAAATTGATAAGATTTCTTCATTTGACCATTCTCAAATTAGAAGGCAAGTTAATATTCTTAAGGAATTAAAAGACTCCGAATATATTATCAAATTTTTTGGTTTAGCGGAAGAAAATTCTAAATATTATTTGGTTACTGAATGGATGGAATACGGTAATTTAAGTGAATATTATACAAGATTTAAAGAAAATATGAATTGGAAATTTAAAACTGAATTGGCCCTGGATATTTGTCGCGGTGTCGCTTACTTACATGAGTGTAAGGTAAATTAATTTAAATTTTTCTTGATTATAATTGATTAAAATATAAAATTATAAAATAATTTCAATTTTATTTTTTAATTTTTGTTTATTAGATTCTTCATCGTGACATTCGTTCGACAAATATTTTAATCAATAAAGATCATAAAGCTAAAATAGCAAATTTCGGTTTAAGTAGGAATTTTTCTGAACTTACATCAGGGAATCAATCGCATTTTGTAGATACTGTGAGATATTTTGCTCCAGAAAAACTTTTTGATAACGACAAAAAAGTTCCTTATGATTCTAAATGTGAAATTTACAGGCAAGTAACTTTTAATATCACACCAAAAAATTCTGTCTTGATTTTTTTACACATTTTGTTTTTATTACTTTTATAGTGTTGGAGCATTATTGTGGGAAATCGCTGAATTGAAGAAACCTCATTCAGACCTTGATACATCAAAATTAATTGAAGGTATTTTAAATCGTGTATGCAAAGGATATCATGAACCATTTTCAAATTCTGTACCCGATGAATGGAAAAACTTAGTTTCTAGAGGTGAGCTTTGTAATTAATTAATTAAAAATTGAACTTTATTAAAATATTTAAATACTTACCGTTTCTATAAAAAAAAAAAAAAAAAAAAAAAAAATTAGCTATGGAATATAAGTCTGTTTGGCGTCCCAATATAACTGATATTTGCGAAAATTTATATGACTTAAAACATTCAGATTTAAAGACTACTTTTTCAAACGAGTACATTAGAGGCTCAACATCTAACGTAAATTTATTAGTAAATAATGAACTAAATAATGAACAGACTGAAAAGGTATCTTCATTTGTCATCATTAAAATTCTATCTATGGATGATGCAATTCGTGAGCATTGTTCTAAGAACGGAAACAAACAGGTTGTATGGGATAGCTTTAAATATCATTCAATGGTCAATATTGAAGCAAGGTACTGGGTAGGATATTATTATTATTATCATGGTGAAGATATTCCTGAATTACAAAATATTAGTAAGGACGAAAGAATTAAAATTGCTATAGATATATTTAAAGAAACTGCAGATAAAGGAAATTTACTCGCTCGAGAAGAATACGGAAAATATTTATTGCGAAACATTTAGAAACGGAGTTGTAATTATGAATAAAGGAATTTGTATTTATGCAGGGTGCCTCCCATGCGTAGTAATTTAATTGTGTGCATGTGGTATCATAAAATTATCGTGCTTTCTTCGTTCTCATGTTCACATTGTAAATTCTCAACTCTTTTCCTTTATCCTTTTATTCACAATATCTACCAGAAATCAGACAATGATGATTCTGATGATGAAATCTTTCCCGAAGATTTCTAAATAATATTCCAGAAGATGACGATGAAGATAGTTAGTTCTCTTGAAACTAGTGATTCAAATACCCCAACTTTAACATTAGAAGTTGGTTTGTCCTTTCTTATCTGGAAGTCAGCATTTGATCATATTAAACAATGGTCCTATCAACAAGGTTTTTTTTTATTTGGAAAGGAAGGTCGGAAGAAAAGATGGCAAGGGTGATAAGTAGTAATGCTCCCTTCGATGTATTAAAATCTTATTGTATATCAATATAATTAATTTTATTTTATTAAAGGGATGCGCAGGCGCACAAAAATTAAAAACCTATTTACCAAATTGTTACACCAACTAATTTTTAATGTTCCGTTGCAGAAAACACGAATTAATATTACTTGTATTCAACCTTGTTACGATTCACTTTAATATATGCTGTAACTTGGAATAAATATAAATTGTAACGATAAATTCGATTTATTTTAAAAGTTCTCTCTTGAATTTTTTATTAGTTATATTATGGCTATGATTCGAAAAGAATTGGTTTCCACCGCAATCTCCAAAGCATATGCATTATTAGATAATGAAATCCATAAGAGTATTGACCAACGACACGACTTTATGGACAAAGTTATTGATTCTGATGAAACCCTTACCGAAGATGAAAAATTAGACGCAAAAAATACCATGGCTAGAACTCGTGACTATGATAAAGTTCTTTATAATGAAGGGGCAAAAAGAATTTGTGAAAATTGTCATGAAGAATGTTTAGCTACATCATTTTGTGAATATTGCGTTCGAAATTATTTAAAAGTAAATTTTTCAAATTGGCAATCCGGAAATGATAACATTGATGATTTAATACAAAAATGTCAATTAGAATCCATTTCACCATACAAGATTATAGAATGGATCCCACACGATCGATTACAAGGTGTTGAATATTTTACTAAAGGTGGAATCTCTGAAATTTATTCAGCCAAATGGATTGATGGAAGGTACACGGAATGGGATTCAAAAGAACAAAAATTAGTAAGATCGGGTATGCAAGATGTAATACTTAAAAAATTAGAAAATATTGAAGGTGCTAATAGGAGTTGGTTTGATGAGGTAATGTAATTTAGAAGCAATATTTATTTATTATTATTATTTAAAAAAAATTTTTTTGCTTTAATTATAATTTTCAATTATAGGCTCAAACACATTTAATGATAAGCAATAAATGGGGACGAATAGTAAGTACTTTTGGCCTAACACATCTACCAAAAAAAGGTTATATGCTTGTAATTATTCTAATGGATAACGATTTAAGAAAATATTTAATGGCAAACCATCATTTACTTACATGGAAAGAAAGGATTATGATCACCCTTGATATACTCAATGCACTTCATAGAATCCATAAAGTTGATGCTATTCATAGAGATTTGCATTCTGGAAATATATTACATTCTCCAAGAAATTATAATTGGTATATTAGTGATTTCGGTTTTTGTGGTCCTGCTGATAAACCATCGGATAGTATATACGGAAATCTTCCCTATATAGCACCAGAAGTTATTGCTAGAATCAAAGAATACACTAAAGCATCTGATATTTACAGTGTTGCTATACTTATGTGGGAAATTTCAGCGGGAAAACCACCTTTTAAGGATCATAATTATGATAAAGATCTCGCAATGTGTATCGTAAATGGAATGAGACCAAAAATATTACCAGGAACTCCTTTAGAATATAAAAAATTAATTGAACAATGTTGGGATGCTGATCCATCAAAACGACCAGATATTAATACTCTTTATGATGAAGTAAAAAAAATCAGTAAATTATATTATCAAAATAAAAATGAAACTCAAATGAATAATTATCACAATAAGATTAATTTACAAATTAAAATAAATAATAAAACAAGTAAAAGTATTGATTTTCTTTTCAAAAGTTCCAAAGTTTATTGTTTTAATAATTTTCCTAATCCAAGAAATGCTACCAAAGGTAAGATAATAAAAGTTTTAATGATTAATATATTATTTATCTTCTAATAATTAATTTTTTTAAATAATAATAATAATAATAATAATAGAAGAACAAGAAGGTAATTAATTGTTTATAAATCTTTTAATAAATTGACATCAAATTAATAATATTTATATATATTGTTTTTTAAAAAAAAAAGAATATTCTAGTTTATATAATAATACATTTAGTCTATATGGTAAGTAATAATTTAATAAATTATAATATCATTATTTTTAAAAATATTATTAATTTTTTTACTTATTTATTTGTAAATCTATTTTTTTAATAATTAAGATATTGCATCTAATAAAAATTCTTTTATAATTGGTAATATATAAAATTGATGATTAATAAAATATACAATATATTCTAATTTATTAAATTTTAATTTTTAGATGATAATAATAATAATAAAGAAGTAAAAAATAGATTTAAAAGAAATAATTTAAATGGTAATTTTACATTATTTTATTATTTATTTATTAATATTATTATTTTTATGTTTATAATATTTATATTTTTAATTTTATAGATGATAATAAAAATAATATAATTATTAATTTAAAAAAAAGAAAACTAGATGATAATTAAAGTAAACTTATTATTATTATGATATTTTTATATATTATACAAGTTTTAAAATTAATATTAAATTTATATTTTATTAAAAAGATTTAAATTAAAATTATTAAAGATATTTAAATATATTTTATTTTATTAAATAAATTATATAACTTTATTTTATACATTATTAATAATTTATTATTTTATTTAATAAAGATTTATATTAATAATAAATTTATATTTTAATTCATAATACACTTAAAAAGAAGTGATTGGTAATATAAAGTCTATAGGTTATAATTTCTTCTCTTAAACTGTAAAGCAGGCAAATTTGCTTGCAAGTTAAAAAAAAAGTGTTAAGTTCTTTATAAAATATTAAATATTAATTTTAGTAATAATATTATTATATAAAAATATATTTAATATATATTTAATCAACTTTATTAACAAAGATTTTAGGTTTTTTAAAAGATTTCTAATATAATCTAATTTTAAAATTAAGTTTCAAACAATTTCTTATAATAATTTTTTAAAAATTCTTTAAAAATTTATATATTTTCATACTAATTGAATTATTTTATCATTAATAAAATCATAAAATTTCTTAATAAATTATAAAAATTATAATAATAAAAGTTTTTTTTATAAGTAATTTTATAATATTCTATTATGATTAATATAGTTAAAAGTAAATTCTAAAAAGTGTATTATAAATTAATCATAAAATTTTTTAATATAAATTTTTTTTAAACTTATAAATTTTAGCTTTTAAGTAATCTTAAAATTTTAAATATATAATTAAAAGATAAAACTTATTATAATTTATTATATATTTATAAAATTTTTTAAAAATATTAATTATTTATAAAAGTAAATTAAAGAGAATTTATAATAAATAAGTAGACAAATTTGTTTGCAAAACCCTATAATTCAAGGAATAATTTAACACTATTTCTGAATGTTAGTATCCTTATATCAAAAAGGTGTTCATATATCATAAAATTATTAACTAGCATAAATTTACATATATAAAACTATATCTTTACAAGTCTCTATACCTTTTTTTCCTAAGCTTAATAATAGAAAAAGTTTTTTCTTAAATAATATCAAATGTGATTAAGGTTGTAAAGAGAAAATTTTAGGTTTTATTTTTCTTGAAACAAAAGAAAACATTCATAGTTATAATTTAAAAGTTAGTTTTACAACAATACTTGCAAAATTTATCAAAGGTTTTAGCCAAAAATTAAGAAACTATTTTTTGTTTAAAACTCTCAATGACTTGAAAGAAATATTATATAGAAATAAAATTAATAGGAAAGATATTACAAGTATCAAGCAGTTTATTTCTGATGAGTGATTAATTAATTTTTCGGAACTGACTAGTTAAATATACTAACCTTATTTTTTTCCTGCAATTTTCAAGAATATCAATGATAATGATAAGAATCTCAATTATTATATGAAAGATATTATCCTAAAATTTTCAAATGTAAAAACTATGAATAATACTAATAAGATAACGTATTGTAAATTTATTTCATCAATTCTTCATATATCAATCGCTAAAGCTAAAGTTATTTGTCTAAACTTATTTTGAATTGGCTAAACATCTAAACCTTTAGTTTTGCTAAATTTTTACCAAGTGTTTGATATAATTTCACCATTTTTATAAGCTTTGATATAGTTTTATTTTTTTCTGAATTCGCAGATTTTTTAATAAGGTTTTAATATATTTTAACCAAGTTTTACCTTTACCATTTAGACGTCTGTCTAAACTCTGGATTTTGTCTAGCAACCTTAACTATAACTAAAAATCTCACCTCTTAAGATATATTTATAGTTCTACAAAAAGATATTTTTGATAAAGATGCAATAAGCTAAGTAGACTACATGATCAAACTTTGAAAGATCTTTTATGCATTATTGAGAGAAATTACACAATATCAAAATTGGATATGCCCAAATAGATCGGTCTATTACTCAGATTATATTTTAAAAATTCAATAATATTCACATTTTATCTCTTAGAATCTGGTATACTTAAGAGTGCATTTCAGATAAAAAAAGAAACAGATTGCAAATTAGGCATTTAAAAAGACTATCTCTATAATATCATGATCATAGGTATATATTAGCATTTTATTATATGGGAGCTTTGCAATAGAAAGGGAGGAAACTCTAAAAAATTTTTTTTTGAGTTAATGTTAAATCTGGACTTATTTTACAAAAAAAATCATAATTAGTTTAGAAAGTAAAATTTTAA